GCCTCCTGCACATCTCCCACTGGGGATGTGCCCGCAACCCAGATACAAGCCCTTGACCGGACTCGAACCTGGGACCCTTCAGTCCGCAGGCCGGCACTCTATCCACTGAGCCAAACTGGTTATGGCTAAATGAGATTTTTTATTGAGATCCCAAAAAACAGTAGGTGTAAAATTCTGAGATCAAATCACCATTTGCAGACTTTGAAAGGCAATGGTCCAGAACCTGATTCATGCTCTCAGCCAATCGAAAACAGGATCAGAGTCAAGAAACTGGTGGAGCAATTTCTCTGAAAAGAGCTGTTGTTGGGCTGGGGGAAGAGTTGGAAGTCCCACCCTTTTTTAAAAAATATATTTTTTTTATTGATTTCATAGAGGAAAGGAAAGGGAGTGAGAGATAGAAACATCAACAATGAGAGCAAATCATTAATCGGTTGCTTCCTGCATGCCTCCTACTGGGGATCAAGCCCGGAATCGAACTGTGACCTGATTCATTGGTCGCTGCTCAACCACTGAGCCACACCAGCTGGGCAGAAGTCCCACCCTCGACCCCTGAGCTTAGTGAGAGGTTTGCAGAGGGACCCTTCAGAGAGCTCACTGTCTTTCCTGCAGGTGGGCCAGTGGTGGCCTGAGGCTGGAGGATTGGCTGCTTCAGTGGCAGAACCAGGGGAGGTGGCTGCACCAGGAAATCTGCTTCCCAGAGTTTGCCGGGACCAAGGATGGGGCCTCCTCCCCAAGATCCAGACGTGGGCCAGCAGGAAGCCAGAGCCAACAAGGAGTCACCTAGGTCCTGCCTAAGAGAACCAGCTGCATGGGTGAGGAGACCTCATGTGAGAGGTGGCCCACCAGGGCTTGGGGGAGGACTGCAAGGGACCTCCTGGAATAGAGGGCTTCTCTGCTGGTTGTGGGAACTTCGGGGGAGCGGTGTCCAGAGTGGGAAACCAGAGAAGTACAGTTGCTCCTCAGGAGAGGGAGAGATGGAGAGCACTAAGCACCTGCCAGCCCCACAGCCTGCGGCTGCACCAGAGTGACACCAGCTCAAATAGGAGCTGTCTTAGCACCTTAGCACCTCTGCCCTGACCTCTGTCTCTCATCATTGATGTTTCCATCTCCCTCTCCCTTCCGCTCTGAAATCAATAAAAAATATATTTAAAAAAATAGTGCCACCAAGCCCCCAGCAGAGTGGGGGCTTACGTCTCTGCAGAGCGCTTCTCCCGACACTGGGCAGAAAATGAACTGCGCTCCCATTTAACTGCATGCAGCTCCTCTCTGGACCTCCTGCGCGCCCCGCAGACCCCCGGGCTGCTCCCGGCAGGTGAGCGGCACCGGTGACCCCGCGCCCCATCCTCCACATCGGACCATGGACTTGCTCCTCCGCAGTCCGGGTCCCTCGGAAGACGCCCCCTCTCTACCTTGTCACCCTCCGATGGCCCAGAGACACTAAGTGGTGTGGGAGAACCGGCTACCTCATCCCTCTCCCAGGGGAGACTTACAGCTGGAGACACCACCTGGGGAAGGGAAATTTTGATGCTGGCTAAACTCTTGTGCCTTTTTTAAAAAATATATTTTTATTGATTTCAGAGAGGAAGGGAGAGGGAGAGGGAGATAGAAACATCAGTGATGAGAGAGAATCATGGATCGGCTGCCTCTTACTGGGGATGGAGCCCGAAACCCAGGCATGTGCCCTGACTGGGAATCGAACCGTGACCTCCTGGC